TCCGTTGTATTATTGGTCTGGAAAGTACATCTGAGCTAAGTTTACACTTGTTCAGAATGTTTTCAAATCAATCACTACTGCATCTTGCAGTGATGGCTGGGGGAAAATCAGCGTCAGCTAATTCTGACGAAAGCCCATGATTTTAAAGGGCCAAGCAGAGGATGCTGTAAAGGTTTTAAAATCCAAAAATGCCAGTGCTTAAATAGCATCTGCTATAAGCTCTTTGTTTTTCACATGGGAAGCAGAGGTCTAAAGAGCTGACGGCATTTGCCCAAGGTCGTACACCTAGTTAGGGTGGAATGAAAGACTTAACCAGAATCTGAGCTCGGTTGATCTCTTGAGTATTTTTATTTCTCTAAGTCTTTCTGCTGTAACTACCTCTCAATTATTTATGGGATGATTGTCTAGTTTATGGATTATTCAGTTCCTTTCTATTCTCTCTTTCCATTTCTCTGCTTATTGTCATATAGACTATTGATTGAGCAGAGAAAACAGGAGTTGAATGTTTTACCTGACAATTTAGTGACCCGTCTACTACTTGGTTTTTATTAAAGTGCTCAAAATACTGCAACTATTGACTTAAAGAAATTTTGGAAGCCACAGTCAATAGTAAGTTATATTCAGATAAATTTTTCTTTCTTTGAAACCTACATTTAAGAAGTCAGCTTCAGAGCCTAATTTTCTTGTTGACATTAATACTGTCTTTATCTTAGGAAGGACTAGAAGGGAAAGTCTTCACAATGAAACTACTTGATTATCCCCCTTCCTCAAGGAAGTCATGAATCAGAAGGGCAGCCAACTTTTGGAAACAAAGGTCACCTTGTCCATTACCATCTTGGAGGGGCAAAAAAGGGAGAAATAAAGAGAAGTGATAAAAGGAACAAAACCAAAAGTCTTTCCTGTTAACTCCTGAATGCTGAATTTGCAACATGACTTCATTATTTGGTTTAGAGCACTGAATTCCCAGATAAAATCCAGTGTTATTCAAATGTAACTGCAGAGTCTATAAATGAATTTTTAATTGCCACAATATTGTTTTTTTCCATTACAATGGAAGGCAGAGACTTGAGTTAGTATGTGAATTTTATTTAATTTGTATTTTCTAAATCATGCCTAAGGGGCCAGCCCCATGGCCGAGTGGTTAATTTCACGCACTCTGCTTCGGTGGCCCAGGGTTTCGCCGATTTGAATCCTGGGCATGGACATAGCACCGCTCATCAGGCCACGCTGAGGCGGCATCCCACATGCCACAACTAGAAGGACCCACAACTAAAAATACACAACTATGTACAGGGGGCTTTGGGAGAAAAAGGAAAAATAAAATCTTTAAATCATGACTAAAAATGAATTAGCTATACAAATATTCTTTGCAATTAGTACTTTTGCTTTTCATAGTCTCAAATATTTCTGTATTATGGCTTTGAAGTGAGGGTAGTGTTCAGACTCCTTCGTTTTGAGACAAATCATTCATACTCTCTGTAGCTCTTTTTTGTTGTTGAGGAAGATTCACCCTGGGCTAAGATCTGTTGCCAATTTTCCTTTTGCTTGAGGAAGATTCTCTGTAGCTCAGTTTGCTCACCTGTAAAATGTGGATGATTGCAGGACCTACTTCAAGGGGTTGAATATGTTAATGCACCTGAAAGTTCGATATTATTATTAATATTGCTGTAATCCAGACAGTGTCTAAAACCCAGCATGAGACATAGTTGTATATCTATGGAAAATACAGTTTCCATTCAGGGATCTAGGACTCCGAACCCCACCCAGTAAAGGGAGGCCGATGGCCAAGCTTTCCCCAGGGACTGTAGACAGTCCCTCAGTGCGTTCCTTCCACCACACACCCAAACTTCATGGAACACCTGCAGGTACAGGAACGAGAATTGCTGTGGGTTGGGAATAGCTGGTTTTAGTGGGGCTTTCTTCCCTCAGTTTACAAAGAAGAGAACTGAAAGTGGTTCCAATTGCTTTCCAAGAAGCAGGTATAACTGTCACGCTGAGTATGCCAACATGGGAGGTAGAACCAGGGATGAGAGACTAGAATGCTTCTTGCTTCTTGTCTATGAAAACTTATGAAGAGCTCTTAGAGAAAAGAAAAGCAGTGATACCCAAAAGATGAAAAGATGTCAACAGTTTGCTTATACATACCTGCAGGCCTACATACAATAAAAACCAAAAAGTAGGTGAAAAATTGTTCAACCTCATGTAAATTAAAAGAATATGAGGAGATAGGTGCTCTCATATGTTATTGGTAGGAAGATAAATTGATACAACTTTTTGAGAAAGCAATTTGGCAGCATACTAAACAATACACTTATCTTTTGACTAATTCTAGTTTGGGGAGATCTATCCTCAGGAAAGAAAGATTTTATAATTGGAAACAACCAAAGTGTCCAATTGTGTTTCAACCTAAATATTTCAGCTATAAGAAAGAAATTGAGAGAATACTACACAGGGAGAAAAAAAATCTAGAAGGAAATACCAAAATGTGGTTTGTCTTTATAATGGAATTGTATGAGTAATCTTTTTTCTCCTTAATCTTTCTGTATAGTTCATACATTCTATATGATACATGTATTAACTTTTCAATCAGAGAAAGACAAAATTTATTTTTAAACTTTAAAATGCAAATCTGCATTTTAAAATCTGCCCAACTTACCACAATGCCCTTCATATCATTACTGGCATAAATGTTTACAGACAGAATCAATGGGGAAGAAAGAGTTGCAGTGCAATACCAGTAAAATAAAGGAAGATGAAAAAAACACAGGGAGGAACTGTCTGTTGATAAAGGAAACATGAAGAAGATATGTGAAAATAATCTGCACCAGAACAAAGTGTAATCGTTGTCATGTTATGGACCATGTGTGGTAGACCAGTCCATGTGACATCACGCCACCACTTTTCTATCACTACAGCCCCTTCCCTCTCTGCTCATTACATGTTGGGAACTGCTGCCCAAAGATGCACAGCAAAGGGCGAGAGAAACCATGGGAGAAGAACCACCTCTCCCAGAATGTTCTACCATTCAAGGTGACATGGATTTCCAGAATAGAATATTTGGTCCACATTTAGCAATTGGCTGCTGAATATTATGGGCTATGAAGAGACTTGCTCTACAAGTCATGAGCCAGAAAATGTCTAAATCAAATGTGTGCTCACCAATCCCGTGCAGGCAGCTAAGAAAAGTGCTATCTAGTATAAAACGTGGTGCCCTGGAAGCCATGGTGCTATTTGAATGCTTGATGAAGATCAAGCTTTCTTTTTCTTGGGGCCTCAATAAGTGCCGATAAATTATTTATCCCAGTTGGGTTACATGATTTCATTTCAGTGTGTCAGTGTTTATCATGGAAGCTCATTCTAATTGTATAGTTCAAGGCGTCTTCTTTTCTCCTTCAGGCACCTTGGAGCACCCTTTCCCCACCTGCAAGTGTAACTGTTGGTATGCTGATTTAGTATAGTCTTTGCTACTGGGTACTATTCTGAAAGATGAATGAATTTCATTCTGTCTTTAAATATTTATGTTTCTTTATGACCTAATATATCATCATGGTTATGGGGAATTTTTTTCCCTAACTATAGAAAATACACCATCAGTTACTTGTCAATTTTGTTTAATAACTCCGCTTTGCAGTTCTGGGGCACTGTTCATCCAAGGCTCTTGAGGACTGTTTTAGTCTCTCAGACTACTTCCAAGTGTCATTCTGGGATTTATAAAGGTCTTCATTGCACAGAGGATATTGAAACGTTAAGGACTTAAGTGCTATGCCCTTTATCACTTAGCACACTGGAGGATCCAGGACTAGAAATCCAGGCATCTTTGTTTTGTTGTTTCCTCCCAGCATGGAACAACAGCCTCTGTAGAGAATCGGCCAGTATCCCTGGAAACAATTCATCAGATTCTTCAAAAGAAACCCAATTTTATCTGGTCCGATGGGTTTAATGTTACTTCTTAAGATAAATGATGAAAATATCAACATCATAATACAAGGAAACCCAATTCTTTTGGTTTAATCTCAGTGAAAAGCATCACAACCCAGTTATTGCTTCTGTCTCCTTCCTTAATGCTTTTAGGTCTTTGGCTCAAGGAGATGGGAACAGTTCTGTAAATATCCCCAAACCAAACTTTGGGAATCACAGTATCTGGGGATGGAGCCTCAGGAATCTTGCTTTTCGTAAGCTCCCCAGGCACTCTACAGTTAGAGAATGACCAGTCTAGTACTGCAGCTGTCAAGTCCCTTCTAGCTTTGAAAGAATCGTGAGCCCCGAATTCTCTCTCATTCCATTTGGTAAATCTAGATTTGAACGTGTGTTCTTCTTGAGTTATTTTAAAAATATATTCTTAGGTAGTTCCCTAAATGGACAGTTCTCTCCCTTACCTGTGCATCTAAGGGAAACAGAATTAGATGTTTCAGGGGCTGGTATCAGAGGGGAAGCTGTGGTGTGCCAGGGGGCATGCAAAGCCATGGTTTAAGTATGATGCATCTTCCTATAGCATCAAGTTTTTCCTAAAAATAGTGTCTTTTAGTTACAACAGATATATTATGGGATAGGAGTAGGTCACATGGGTTTTATGCCAAACATGAAGCTTCAATAAAGTTCCTGACTATAGCTGATATTGGGCTCCCAGACCTCTGGAGATTAGAGTTCATTCGCCTCTTCTATCAGAAGTACCCCTTTTACATTCAAGATTCCCCTTGGCCAGTGATTCCTAAATATGTGGTTCCATGAGGTTAAAGTGAACATTCATTTGAAACCACTATAGAAAATTAGCCCCAAGACGACCTTCTACACAAGGATGTTGAACGATTTGTTGCCAGGAGTCACTCATAAATTTACCAGTCTAAGATAAGCACTTTCCATTCCTACCACCATTAAGGAAATATTCACAAAAGAGTATTATTTCTCCTATGTACAAAAAGAGTGTGTTAATTAGAAAAGGAGATTTAGCAGAGCAGGAAAAGGAACTAGCCATGTGAAAACACACCAACGCTCTTACTGACCATGTTCTCGTTGTAGCAGCAGTTTATAAAATAGCCTTGAAATTATGAAGCTCCCAGAATGTGTTCCTTACTGCAAAGATGGCTTGGTTCTCCCATAGGATATTCTCTTTTTCAAGATGTTCCTGATAAAGAAGAAACAAATCCAAGGCCTTGAGTCCAATAGTCCGACATTTCTGAGCAAGGATCCTGATAGATCTGCAAGATCCCTTCACCCCCAGAATTGCCTTTGGCCCACTGCCTTGTTCTGCCCCCTCAATCCTGGCAAAGCTACCTTTCCTATCAGGAGGAGAGAAGGAAGTAAACTGTAGCTGGGAAGGCTCCCCTGTCCTTTGGTTAGCCAGCTGTGATAGCATTGCTGGCTCAGAGCCTGCACTGAACTTTACGTCCTGGGTAATTTTTAGTAGCCATGCAAGTTCTAGCCTGAGTCCAATAGACTCAGTGAGGGTTAGTAGTGGCATAATGTTGGTTTTAAGAATGGCAAGTGGCAATCTTCTCCCTTCCTGTCTCCCACATTCATCTTTTCTCTGCCTTGACGATTCACTCTAATGCATGTTTCTTTTACAGGCACTACTCCTCTCTCCACCACCTGGGCCAGTGGCCTTGCAGCCCCATGGCTCTCAAGTCCCTTCTTTTTTGCTAGACTTATACCTGGTCCCCTCCTAGACCATTCTACATAGTGCTGTCACATTACTCTTCCAGAAACACAAATTGGAATGATGCCTCTTCTCTCAACAGAACCTTGAGGAGAGGTCCTTTATTGACTCGACTAGGCCTAAAGTTCTTTATTGACTAGGCCTAAGGTTCTCATTGCCTTAGCTTTTCTGATATCAGACTCTGTACCTCTGGCTTCAACTGCCTTTTCCCCCAACTGTCCACTGTTCCACTGTGCTCCCCAGGCTAATTGACTTACTCCTTCCTGTCTTTGCTCACGCTCTTCTCTTTTCCTTTTTTTTTAATAATTTTTTTTTGAAGAAGATTAGCCCTGAGCTAACTGTTGCCAATCCTCCTCTTATTGCTGACGGACCGCCATGTCCGCACCTGGGATCCAAACTGGTGAACCCTGGGCCGCTGAAGCAGAATGGGCACACTTAATCACTGCGCCACTGGGCTGGCCCCTCTTTTCCTTTAATCTAGAACGTCCTTCCTGGAAGCCGTGCCTGACATTTCTCACCCATGTGAGGTCTTCCTTGATCCTTCACCCTCCTCTCTGCATGGTGTGATTTCCCCTTCCTCTGCTAAAAATTCTTTGCATTTATGCCTCACTCATGGCACTTAGAACGTTCTTCTTGTCTCTGTCTGTGAAGAAAGAGTATTGGACTGGGAGTCAGAAACCTGGATTCATATCCTGGCACAGCCACTCACTATCTTTGTGACACTGGGCGAGTCCTTTAATTTCTCTATGCTTCAGCTTCCTTATCTGAGAAAAGGGAGTCCTAGCCCCATTGGTTTGTGAGCATGAAATGACACAGTTTGTGGAAATTAACTTTATCAACAGGCATGCAATCCTTATCTGTCTGCTTTTCATTACCTTTCCCACTTGTCTGAGCTATTTGAGGAGAGGGGCTGTGTATTGCTCATCATTATATATTACTATTATTATTACTACACTAATATTAGACATTAGTATTATTATATTTCTAATAATAATGTTTATGGAGCGTGTAAACCTGTGTCAGGCCCCATTCTAAGAGGCACTATTATTATCCCACTTTATGGAGTAGAAAACAATGTATTTCACAGGGCCTCCAATGAATGAGTGAATGAATGAGAGGTTGAATGAGACAGAAACTGCTGGCAATGCCTGATTATTTCTCTCCCTCTTGGTTCTGTACACCGGCTTCTCTTCCTTTGAATCTTCTGAGATAAATGCAAAATTAGGAGAAGGTCATGAGTGAACTGAGACCCTGAAAGATGTCAGGTCTCCCTGGGTCCTCATTTAGACTTCTTCTCATGAAGTGAGCCCCAGTGAGCTCCAAGAGGATAGAGACTGTGTCTGTCTTGTTCTCCATTGTATTTGTGGGGCCTGGAACAATGTCCAGTGATTAATAAATGTTTATTGAATAGGTAAACTAAGTAATTTATAAATAATATATCCATTACCACTAAAACCTCAAATTGCTGACAATGGTGATGGCGAATCTTGTTCTGTCTTGCTTTCTCAGGCAGTACTACGAGATGTTATACAACACGGCCGATGAGCTCCTGAACCTCGTGGTGGACCAGGGCGTGAAGTACACGGAGCTGGAGTACATCCACGCCCTGACCTTGCTGCAGCGCAGTCAGACAGGGGTGGGAGACCAGACCACCCAGAACATGAGGCTGCAGCGGCTCAAGGAGATCATCTGCGAGCAGGCTGCCATCAAGCAAGCCACCAAGGATAAAAAAATAACTACAGTTTAATTGGGTGTGCTACAGGGGGCTGGGTGGGGCTGGGGGGGTCATTTTTGCTTTTTCAGTCATCTCACTTCTTTCTTTGCTGTTATTTGGTATATTCTGAGCTGACTTACTTTTCTCTACACTGATACTTTAGTGGAGAATGTAAGGATTTATTGGAGAAAGTAGTGGAGGTGTAAGGATTTTTTTCTCTGTAGTTTTGGCTTTTCATATAAACTCTAAAGGGAGTTTGCAGTACACAGTGTTTTGATTTAACATCTACTTGAATGCAGTCAATTAAGGGGACTAGGGTGGGATGGGGAGGAAGGCTGTGTCAAATTGGACTCTGAGATAATGAATGCATGAATTACTAAGGCCCAACAATCTTGGGAAAGTAGAGTGCTGCCTAAGTTTTAGTCCCTTCCTAAAACCACTTAATAGGGCTTTATTACATAAACAGTAGGTTTTTACTCTCTTGACCCATCAGTTTACAATTCAATGAAATAAGTGTATGTGCATTGCTTTCTGTCTCTGTTGCCAAGATTAAATCAATGGCTTCTCAATGGGCTGTAGTTTTTAACAAATTTCTTTAACCCAAACAGGACCTCTTCAGGGATAGGGGGGAAAAGTCCTTTTATCTCAATCTCTGGGAGAGTTTGGTATGCGGTAGCTTGTACGAGGTTATAGGTTGGTGTATTGCCTTTTTGTTTTTATTTCTGCTGTATCAAACCCAAGAGCCATCAAATTAATGACAAAAATGGAAGAACAAAAGGTGATTCAACCCTCTGCTTGATTTTTCCCTTGTACTTTCCAAGAGAAAATGATGGTTAGAGAACTTTTAATCTCACTTGAAACACTGTTTGGATGTGAATGATGGTTAGATGCTCACTTACTCTCATTTTGAGCCCCTAGGTCTTTCTCACCTTAGAAAGTAGCCCAGGTCTGCTCAGCTGAGTGCGGGGAATATGGGACAGCCATGACATTCCTCCTCTGTGCACCTACCCCCTGAGTCCATTTCTGAAGTGCTCTTGGGTTGTGTGTGTGCTCACCACGCCTGGCACACTGGACCTCACCACTGTCCCCAGGTCTCCAGCCACTCTTGGTGCCTATGGTTGATATGTCACAAAAGAAGGCAATGCACTGACCATGACACACCTTGAAAATGTATAGAAAGAAGAGCAAGAAGGTTTTTGAACTCTCGAGGCCATGCCTCATGCCCTGATGGTACAGAATTTTACAGCTGTTTGTACAACTTTGGTCTTGGCAGGAAAAGCAGAAAATTAAAAAATGTTTTGAGAAGCATGAATGTCGTGTATTTTTTTGTGTGTATTTATTCAGCAAACATCCCCTGAAGGCCTAATGTGTGTCAAATGCTGCTGGACATGGGGCCAGATCCTAGATGATGAGGACACCCTTATACCTACCTTTAAGACAGAAGATGGGAACTGGACTAACCAAAATCCCAACAGATGTACACGCAGGGCTGAGTTAGAAATCAAGTCAAGGGCCAGCCTGGTGGCACAGCAGTTAAGTTCACACATTCTGCTTCAGCAGCCCAGGGTTTGCCAATTCAGATCCCCAGCATGGATCTACACACCACTTATCAAGCCATGCTGTGGCAGCATCCCACATATAAAGTAGAGGAAGGTGGGCACAGATGTTAGCTCAGGGCTAATCTTCCTCAAAAAAAAATTTTTTTAGTAGATAAATAGCAAACAAAAAATTTTAAAAAGACCCTGAAAAACAAAAAGAAAAGAAATCAGGTCAGACACTGAGGCAGCTGTGAAAGGAATTCAGCAGGCGGCTGGAGGATGGTCTTCAAGAGGATTCTGGAAGGAACATTGTAAATCTGTGGGGCTTCAGAGGCCCATTTGGGAAGAAGTTGAATGTATGTCAGAGACAACCATGGAAAAACTTACTGCCCCTAAACAATATCATTGGAAGTAGTCTACCCAAGAAGTAGGGGTGGGAGGAAGGAGACAGGGGGAGATCAGAGCTGACCACTTCAGTTTGGAAGCCTCCTCTTGGTGGCCCTGTCCTCCCAGCGTAGCTTCTGTGCCTTTTCTTCCCTTTCCTGTCCACTGTATGCAAAGAACCCTGGAGTGGTGACAGTGATGCCAGTAGAGCCAGGGGTGGGACTGGGGAGTGGGTAAGATAGTTTTATTGGATGTGGAAATAACATGGGTTCGGACTGAATAGAATGCCAGAAACACTGAACTGGCAGAAAAATGGCAGGTGAGCTGCTTCAGAGGAGCATTTAGCAAAGTGGAACCCCTGCTTTGCTTACAATACCTATAGGATTGAAATGTGCCGATTCTGCACAGAAAAAGCGATCTGGGGTTCTTTGTCCAAGACATTCAAGGACCAAATTCCTTTTTAGGATGATACATCATTATTCTTCAACAGGTCAAGAATAGCCAATGACACATTCAGTGGATGGTTGGATGGATGCACATGGAGATGGCATGGCCACCTCAAAACCTGCCTTCATTTGAGACCCAGTGAAGATTTCTACATGTTATGGTCCTACTTTGGGGGTATCTTGTGAGACTGTTTTTGTGCTATTCAGAGCCATGACCAGAAAGTTCTAGAGAGAGCCAGGGTCTGCCAAGGACAGGGTCCAGCATACACACACACACTCATAGGTAGCCACAAGAGTTCATTTTCTACCATCATGACCACTCCCTAAATGTGCTGTTGCCGCTGAAAAGGCCAACAAAATAGGCCTCACCGGAAGGGACTCTGAAAACAAGCAAACCATTATCTTGTTCTACAAGTGACAAGTGTGATGGACATCTGTGGAATACTGTCTGCAGCACTAGTCACAGCGCCTTGGAGAAGGCTCATGAGGAAGGGTCCTGAGGTGGACAGACATGACCATGAGGAAGGAGGACTGTGAGGCGAGCTCATCTAGCCTGGTCATCAGAGAACTAGCTCCACAGGCAGGAGCAGCCCTGAGAGAGCTTCCTTCTCGTATCGTCACATCATCTACTCTTGGTACTTAACACGTTAGCCCATGTCATTCTCACAACTCCACATCCTAATTACTACTTTCCTTCCTTCCATACCCAAGAGATCAGAAAATCCTAAAGGGGTCTCTCCCGACTTAGCCTCCCTTAGAATAAACTCTGTGAAAAAGAGGTAGTAATTCAAAGGATAGGATCCAGCTCTTGATGTGTATTGGCAAATTGTATTCTCAGAACTGCTGATAGTGGCAGCTTCTTCTACAGTGTTTTGTTAGTTTTGATTATCTTATTATCACCTGTCATTACACCTCTTAATTTATAAACAATACTCTTTGGATCATATTGTACCCCTCACCCCATGAACATTCATTTTATATCTGTACTATTAATACAGTTTCTTCCAGGAACTTTCATCCTAGCACAATGTTTTCTACCTCACAATGGGGTTTTTTAATCTTATTGGCCACACCTAAAATTTTTTCCCTCTCTCTTCTGATTATATCTCTGCTCATTAGGCAAGGATAAGTTCCTCATGCTGCCCTTGCCCAAAGAGGGCCCCTACTTCCAGGCTCTGAAAGACAAGTTCATTCTTGAGCAGGCAGATTGGCTCAAATTCAGTGGTAGGGCCAGGCCTGAGCTCCCACGGCCTATACCCTGAAAATAGCCAGTCAGGCAGAATCTGTGGGGGACCCTCCACCTGGAATTACTGCCCTTTGCTGAGTGACCTCATTCATGGAAGCCCCAGCCCCTCCTCAGGGCCTTGTTCTTGCCTGAACGTTTCCTCAGCCTGACAGTCATTAATTTATGTTCCAAATAGCTTGGAAAGAAAAACTCAAATACAGCCAAGTGGAATTGGCAACCAAACCCGGATAATTCTTACTGTCAAGTCATATCCGTGAATCTCTTAGCACTAATGCATTCATTCAGTCAAAGATATAATTGCCTGTTACAGTTCAGGTGATATGGGATTCATGCAATGGCAAGCAAAAGTGACAGTCCCTTGTGGCATGGAGCTCATACTTCCACTCTGATGAAGAGTTATAAAACTTCCACTCTGATCTTGTCCTCCCTTGAGTCCATATTTCCCCCTCGGTCTGCCAAGGCTATCCTTTCATTTAGGAAGACATCTCAAGGGATTGAAGACTGAAATCTTTAGCCTGACCCTCTGCTGCTCTCTTCTGAGCTTTGCCCTTCAGGAAGCTTTAGACTGTATCTCACTATTCATGGTCCCTCCCTGGCTAGCACAGAGCCTGAAAGTTCACCCTTTACCATTTGTTGATGGAACAAATGGATTCCCACTTCGTAGGCTCTATGAATGGACTGAGGCCTTCGCCTTCCAGACTCTTGCTCTGAGGCAAAGCTGTGGCTGCCTCCCAGGACCAGGGGGCACAGAAATTTACAGTAAAGAACAGAGGATGACAGAGCCCAGGCAAGCCCAAGCTAGACTCACTCTACTGGGGGCAAATGTGATGAGAAGACCAGCAAAGTGGCTGTCCTAGCAGGATATGAAATCAAGGAGCATCCTGGTCAGCAAGATTTTGTTTGAAAAGCAGTGCTGAAACACACACACCTGAGAACAATTGTCTTAATGTGGCAGGGATGTAAAACAAATTGGGCCTAATTGAGAGGGAGGGTAAGGAGGTACCAAGAACAAGAAAACAGAACGACTGGGCTCGGCAAAGGTCTCCACTCTGTCCTCATTAGGCACAGTTGTTATAAGAAGTACATGATTAATAAGCGCGTAACCAGATGTGAAATACAGCAGAGTCTTTCCTGAAATGGAAGACGTAATGAAGTGTCCACAGCTGGAACTGGTTGTCCTAATTTGGCTGAGGCTGATGCCTGCCTGGAATTTTGAAGAGGTGTAGTGAGAGGCACGCCACAGGTTTGCACCTGAAAACAACTAATCCTATTCAACTGGGCTGGGGTGTAATGAGATAGAGCTAATTATCAAGAATGTAATAAGATGCAAAAGCCCTTGGAATTGAGCTGGAAATTTCCTTAAAAATGAACTAAGACGCAAAGACCAGAGAAGAATTTTGGCTGATGGAGCTAAGGTGTGAGTGTGATGAAATGTGCATGATTTGAGGAGTTGCTTTAAGATACCTGAACCAAAAACGTATGTCTGTAATTAAAAATCTTGCCAAGACATTCACACATGTGGAGCAGGAGTCCCATCCTCGGGACGCAACGACCTATAAAGGCTGCACATGTATTTTTAAAATACAGCTTGTGTCTATCCATACAATTGAAAAAAAAATGAGGCCAGGTGCTCTCAGATGAGTGTAGTTTCCATTATAGTCTATCCCATTTAGAAATGTGGCCTCAGATTCCTGCTGACTTTGCAATAGATTCTCTAGAAGGAGAAAATTGGCCATCTCTTCATCCCAAACTTATTTGATTACTTACCAGGCCAAGTTTTCTTTCACAGGGTTTATTTACTGTGAGAGAGCAGGAATCTATTAGTACCTGTCTTTTGTTAGTGCTGTTATTGTATGTTTGCTATTGTGTTATTTTAGATATCATTTGTTGAGCACTTAATATGTGTCAGATGCTGTGCTAAATGCCTTACCAATTTTCCATTTAATCCTCTGAGATAGATATATTATCATCCCTACTTTAGAGAGGAAACTAAGGCTCAGATTATGGACTTGGCCCCAGACAGATGCTGATGCCAGAGTTTGTGCTTGGAACCCCTCTATTCTCTATTCTATGAGGGATGCCCCTCATCCCGTGTGGCAGAGGGAGGGGAACTAACATGCTATATTTGAGCTCCAAGTGACATTCTCTGGTAAGTTAACACCTCCATGCAGTCTGTCCTCTCCTACGGCCCCCAGAGGGAGCCACTCTTGGACTGAATTTGGGTCTGCCTCTCCCACTCTCCTCTGCTTCTCCTCATCTCCCACAGCCTGATCCAGCTGCCCTCCTCCCCGCGCCCCCCCCGCCCCCCGTGGCTGGTGCATTAACATAACTCTTCAAACCACAAAATTTTGGCCCAGGGGCTAAGCCAGCTAGCTGGAAGCCGAAGATGACCCACACCTGAGCCAAATGCTGGCACAGTCAGGAGGGTGGGCTGAATGCTCAGGTTTGAGAATCTGCTGTACCTTGGCTCAGAATGTCACCTCAGCCTTTGACAAATAGTCTGATGTACAAGCTATTAAATGCCCTGAGCCTCTGTTTCCTCATCTCTGAAATAATAATAGCTCCTATCCATCAGTTGCTGCATAAAGTAAAAGGGGTGTTCGATGCCTGGCACATAATAAATATTACATATACATAAAATATAATAATATTTTCTTGTCTGTTTCTTTGAGGAACTTCTGACCCAGTATCTAGAAAA